ATATATATATATATATATATATATATATATATATATATTTATATTTATATGTACTATATATATTTTCCTTTATTACTTCATAGTTCTAAGAAATTATGTCAATGCGGATTGTATTTGAATTCTATTTTTAAGATTAAAAACTTTTAATTGTTTCTCTTTCTCTACATTTCTCTCACTTTCTTCCCCACTGTCGCGCTCTCTCTCTCTCTCGCTCTCTGCATCTCCCGCTCCCTTTCCTCTCTCTGTGAGACTTTTCCATTCTCTCTCTCGCCCCCCTTTCACTCTCTTCATTTCAATCTATCTCCCTTTCACCTTCTTGCTCTCTCCCTCCTTTACGCTCTCTTGCTATCTTACTTTGTTCTCATTGTCTCTTAGACACCTCTTCCTTAGAGTTTCATTGCTCAAATATGCCTTCAGCCTCATAGCAGAATTAGGCCCATTTGTGAGCCAAGCTTAAAATTATAATTTTCCGACAATTAATCGCAGCGCCACGTAAATTATATGAAATAAGAAGATTCGCTTGGCAAAAGGTTGGCTAATTTCGTGTTCCCTGGCAATGGCTGCTATGATTTTAATTAAAAGTTTAATTACACATTTTTCCGGTCAGCTGCTGTGACCTTTCGCCAACACAGAGAGCCCAGAGAGCACAGAGAGAAAAGTCAGCTGGCGAGCCTATTACAGCCACTCGAAAGAAGTCTCGAAAAATCTGAGTGCCCAGCGAATCGGAGCAATCAAATCTGATTTAATATTTACGACTGTGCTACGGCATCGTTTTGAATTTAATTTGCTGCTATTTCTGGGTTCATTTTGTCTAATGGCATTTGGAGACAATTTAATTAATTTGAAGACAACAAATATTTTCGTCCACTGACATGTTCCAGCGGCGCAGAGAATTCAAGCTCAAATGCCAACAATTGCAGAAATACAAATTATTTAATTTGCTCAGTGTGTGTGTGTGTGTGTGTGTGGGTGTGCGTGTGTGTGCACAGCGTGGTATTGTATTGAGGCTGAGGCATTGACCAGTTGCTGTTACGGTTGGGCAGTCAGCGACCATTCACTGCCCATCACACACCGCCCACCGCCCACCGCCCACTGCCCACCGCACACTCGGCACTTGTCAGTCTCACCCGTCGTCCAAGTCATTTAATGTCAGTCGACTGTTTGGCATGCGGATCACGTAGTTTCTGTGCCACCAGCACTTTTTCATTTCCATTCATTCACTTACGCGCTGTGGCTGCGGCCTGAAGAAACATCAAGCAACACACACACACATCACACTCACTTACGCACGCCATAGTCAAATGGGTGGCTTGACTTGAAATGCTGCTGCTGCTGCTGCTTCTGATTTGTTTGGCGGCGCAGCTGACAGACGGACAGACTGGAGCTGGCATTGAAATTGAATTGTGAAAACTTCGTGGGCGTACGCAGCTTTTTTTATAATATAATTTGCACTTAATTGGCCAGAAACAAGCTTTGCAATTACGCATCCCACACTCAGCTGTGTGCCTCATCTATTTCATATATGTGCCAGGCACACGAGTCGTATACGCAATATATGGCATACTAGAGTTTGCATAATAATCATTTCATAATTGTGATAATTTCCAAAGATTCTTTGCCTAATTTGGTATTTGAGTTGAGTTGTGGGGATTAAGCTGAAATAATTAATATGTTATAATTACAATGCCTTTAGATGTCTCACAATTTAATTTTTACATAATTTGTTTTCTTTTTTTGTGTAGTCTACAGAAATCCCTTTAAGGCCTGACAACAGCAAAAAGTTGCAGCTTATCTTGTTCTAGCTGCTTTCTGCTTGCAACTTATGCAATAATAAGTTTAGCCTTCAGTTTGGGTGAAGTTCAGTCTCTGAGTTTTATATCAGAAGTCAACGCTGACATTTTTCATCTTCAGACTCAGCTGGTGCTGTGCTCTTATGAAAATTTCTATTACTAAGCAAACTCGATTGCAAGAGTTTAATATTTTTAGTTCTTAAATATAACGAGCACGAGTAAAATTCAGCTTCATTCCTTCAATCTCTTTGCTCCATATTCATAACTAAATTTGATAATTCTAGTAAATTAATTAATATATTAATATTATTAATATTATTCCAAGTTTGATCTACCTAACTTCTACATAAATATTAGAACTCATCTTGCAATCAATCGAAGTCTATCATAACCCATTAAATTTAAAGTAAAACCAGCTTTTTATAGTGTATTTCGCCTACTCATACAAGTGTATTCGACATTCCTACTCCTACACACACACACATACACATAGTATGCACATTTGTTTTTTATTTTGTTCGGATAAAAGTGCTAATACAAACAGCTGAGCCGGGAACAAAGTTCTTGGAACCGCTTCGTTGTGGTGCGAGGCGTTGAGTAATCTGGAAGCATGCAGAAGTTGCGTGAAGCGTTCGCCTTTGTGGCTGGCTCGCTGGCTGGCTTATCAGGGCCGCTAGAAGGATAAAGTTTAACGGAACAGCGAAACAATGGCTCGGTGTAAGAGTGAGCGCGGCTTTGGAAACGCATATTCAGGCTTTGGTTGCGCGTTGCCCTGGTTAACAAAATGGCGTCGGGGCACATAATTAATAGCACTAAGGAGATTAGTTGCCCTGCATAGCACGAACCACAGCCCAACCCCACGGTGCCCTGTCAATAGTTGCACACGCAACGGCCCACTGTATGTATGTGTCTGTGTGTGTGACTCGCTGTCAGTCAGAACACCGTTTGCACCTGTCCGGCAATTCGCCCACAGTCTGCACGCAATCTAATTTAGCTAGGAAAAGCGAAACGTGCCCGTGGCGTGGAAATAGCCAAAGCTAAAGTCGCACCTCCTGCCACGCCCGCCCATCAACACAAGGACCTCACTCGCCAATGCCGTTAAGGAGCTCAGGATGCGGCCCAAGCTCTGCTCTGATATCTTTATATTGAGCACTGGCTCAATACTTCTCATTAGACAGCGTAAAGTCAACACAGAAATTGCAGCACTCAATACCTGAGAACAGGCAGCCACAGTTGCAGTTGAGCATACACGACTGCTGCACACCCTGTTAGCAGCTGAAATGGTATTCAAATGAGTTGAAAACATGTTTTCTTGACCTATGAACAATATTGATTTGTGCTCTTTATGGGTCACATATAACTTTAGTTCGTTGACGAGGGAAGCTAATGAGACAATAATTGGTGGGGCATATCATTTATTTTAATTGTCTGTCATCTTGTAGGCGTGGCTAGTGCATACTTTAAATAATTTGTGGAGAAGTTTGTGAGTTGTAAAACAAATCGTCGTTAGTTAAACGGCGATTGTTGGAACTGATTTTGCGAGTGTATAAAGTAAGTTAGGAAGTCTTAAGGGCAAATAAGGCAAACATAATTTTTTATGTATTTTTTCAAAATATTTTCAAAATTTTTTTCAAAATATTTTTAGAAATTTTCTTAAAATGTTTTTAAATTTTTTTTATTATTTTTTTATTATTTTAATATTTATTCTTATGTTTCAAGAAAAATATAAACTTCAGTTTTATTTTTAATATATGTTTAATAACTAAGACATACAAACTATGCCCATGAATTAAAAAAATTATGTTATTGTTACTTAAATAAATAAAGTGCAAAATGATTTCAAGCAAATTGCTTTTGATATGTTTTCTTTAAATTAAAAGTGAAATATATGAAATTCCGCGTGAGTTCATGAGGAAAGAAAACAAACAGCTCAGGCGGAGCATCCCTTGATGATTGATCACAGCAGGTGCACGGACCAAAGGTGGTGTAAGACGTGGTTAGGTGGTTGGGGCTTTTGGCGGGGCGAATTCATGCGAGTCAAGGACCCGCCGAGGCCTCGAACAGCATTGAGGGAACTTGGTTTTGGGCGCAAGCTCCAAGATTTGAGCAATTATTTTGGTGGGACGGTTGGAGGTCGGGGGTTGAGCGGCGAACGGGCTCAAGGATAATGCACTTAAGCCCCGGTTACCTGCTACGTATTGTGCAAGTTACCGTTACTCAGCTGGTCTTGACTGCTTTTATATGCACATGCATACGAGATGCGTCTGAATTTGAATTATTCATCATTGCTGCAGTTGCAGTCGTGATGCTGCTGCTGCTGCTGCTGCTTGAAGACGAGGGTTGTTTGTCGTCCTTGAGGGTTGGCGGCAACAGGCGGCGCGATGCGGCAACACTTTGTGCATTTTCCAGTTTCCAGCTCACAAAGTCCGCACAGCATCTAGCATTGTAGCTGCTGTTGCTGCTGTTGTGTTGGCGGCAATTCGAAAGCAATTTTAGCAGCATTAATCATTCCCCTTATCCACACATGACACGTAACCCCCAACCCCCAACCCCCAACCCCCTCACACAGAGTCAACTGGCCTTTTGTCTAATGTTGACAAAACGCATTTTAAGCTCTTCAGAATTGCCTTCTTTTGTTTAGTTAGTTGACTGCCCACTGTGCATACATATGTGGATTTGGATGGCTGCGCCTGTGAGCTTGAATTTGGATTTGAATTTGGCTCTGCGAACTGGTTTCTGGGACAGCTGGGCTGCTGGCTGACCCTTAATATGAATTGACTTTGGTCACTTTTGTTTGCGTAAGCCCTTAACTACCTTATTGTATTGGCTGTTGACTAAATCACTTCAGTGCATCAGTTGCGCATTTTTTAACTGACTACACTGAGCGAAAGTGGCAAGCCTTTAGAAATTTAGAAAATTTAAGAAATATTCGATTTTATACTAATTTTCATTTAATTAACTAATTTTAATTTTATAATATAGTCGAACTCGAAATATTTGCCACCCTGTGATAAAAAAGTTCCTTTAAAAAACTTCGATTTTTGTCCTTTTTTTATATAATAAAAAGTTTTTAATACAACAAATATTTTTTAACTTCATAGAGTTTTTATGTGTGTTATAATAGTTAGTTTATAGAGCAGCAATAAATCCAATTTATCATACAAAAAAATGCCAAATATATGATCTGCCATCAACTATATTCGCACTCACCTAAAAAACTCTTTTCCTCTTTTGCGAGTTGAAGTTTTCGCAGTTATTTTTCACAGTTGCTGCAAATGCACGACAAATTAACACAGCCAGAACAAAATGTGAAATAGTCCCGTTGCAACGGCTGCTGCTGCGGCTGCCGCTGTCTCTGTGTCCCTGGCCGTGTCCGTGTCCGTGGACGCCACGCCCGCGGCTTTGCTGTGGCACTAAGCAAATGGCTGTTGCGAATAAAAACTAAAACTCTGCTCTTGTTTTTCTGTGTGATTTTCACACAGCACACGATTGGGATGGAAAGTTTATTCAAGGAGGGTGGAACGATTCCGTTCACCCTTGGGTGAAGGCGCAACACGGCGTGTACAATTTACAGTTACAGTTAGCCCGGCACGGCAGAGCAAATCCCACTTTAATGCTTTGTCCTTTAAGTTGCAGTTAACAATAAATATATATATTTATATATATATTTTTTTTTCGACTCTTTTTAAATATATATTGTATTTATTATTTTTGTTATCAATAATGTATATTCGAAATATGCTTTTTAATTGCGCCTTTTGCTGATGCAATGTTAGATTTCAACCCCCGCGCCTCTCTCTCACTTCAGCCAGCGACATTTGTTTTTGTTTACCAATTGTGTTGGATTTACCGTTACCGCACACGCGAACGTCTTTCGTAAAACTGGCCAAAAAGTCGCACACGCTCGTCGGGCAGAATTTCTCAATTGAACTTTGGAAAGTAGAATGGCAGTTGAAAGCTTCGCAAAGAGCACACGCTCAATTGCAATCGCTGTCTCTCTCCCTCTCTCTCTCTCTCTCTCTCACACACACACACATTCACTTTGCCTCGCTTGGTCAGTCGCAAGCGGCAATGGCTTTGCACAATAAATGCGACGCAACAGCGCGTCGAGCTTTGAACGACAACCACCCAAAAATGGCCAAACGACTCGGCGAATCGTTTAAAAGCTCCAAACACCCCGTTAGCTAAGCGCATGCGTCAACATAGTTCAAAAGTCGCGCTCAAAGCTCTCGCAAACACTCTCTCTCTCTCTCTTACTCTTTCGTTCTCGCTGTGTTATGTGTGGGTGGTGGTTGCCCAGCGTGGGGTTGCGGTCTATTTGAGTTGTGTCCAAGTGTGGGTGGATGATTTTTCTCTACCGCACGTTATTATTGTTATTGTTGTTGTAGTTGTAATAATGCAGCAGCAGTGGCAGCAGCAGCAACAGCAGCAGGCGGCGTTTTAGCGGCAGGAATGTGCACTTTGTTCATGTTGTTTGTGCTTTGTTGCTGTTTCTGTTGTTGTTGCCGTTGTTGTTGCTTGCTACTGCAAATTGCCTCGTAGCATTTAAGTCGAATTATGAAACTCGGCGCAGGCAGCCGCCGCAACGAATCCGCGCGCCCCGCAACAGAAGCGAAGCACCCATGCAAAAGCCAGGAATGGGAATGTGAATGCGCCTAAGGGAGAATACCTGTATTTTAATTAATATTGATTGAACATATTGAGCAGTGCAGGTGAGCCTTAATTTAATTGTGTTTATTTTATTAACAAACAAACAACTTTCATAGCTTATCAAATTTTAAATGTGTACGCATAACTGAATTAAGACCAAAAAATTGAGTTTTTATAATATATTTTTTTTTTGCAATTATGGACATATGTGATTTTCTATAAAGAAATATTTTACTTAAAAAGCTTAATTAAGGTTGAAATTGAGTTTTATTAAACATTAATTATTAATTAGGTAGCCTAGTTATATAATCAGAGTATACGGGTATATATGTATATGCATGCAACATTTAACATATTTATTGTTTTCACCTGTTGAAAATGAGAAAATATTAAGAAAGGGAACCCTTCATAGTACACACATCAAATTTAAATTAGATGCAAAAATATCTCAACCACAAATTTGAAATCACCAAAGTAGTATTTTATTAACGGCTTTGAAAAAAATACTAACAAATACTATAAGAGAAAATACTTTTGTGAAAACTACTAAATTACCATAAAAATACAGGCTACCAACAAAAAAATAATACTATTACTGTAAAAACATATTAATAACAATATACTTTAAAGCAACAAACAAGATATTTTGTTTAAGAATAATTATATTTTAATATATAATAAATATTTTAAAAGTATTTTCATTATTATTCAACTAATACTACTTTAATTTACTATTGCTTACGTCATTCTTGGTATCTTTCATATTTCACGACAATTCTCGATTGGCCACTTATCGTCCAGCCACCACAGCGATAAACAGCTGTTCAGAAAGACAGCGTAAAACAATAATCGTCCGGTCACAACAAATTCATTTTAACAAGAAAGAAAACATTAGCTTAATCGTAAAGCAATTACGTTAGAGCATCGTAACGCATCGATTTTGGAAATTAATTAGAATAGCGTTGCCATAAAATATGCCTGTATTCGCATTGTGACGACAGTAAGAGCAGCAAGGCGCAATACAATCTTTTACGACAAGCCAAATCTCATTTGGATCGCAAGATGTCCACTGAGGAGTGCCTGTGGCGCGAGCACGTTGTTCAAAGATTGCGTGAACGGGACCGCAAGGAGTGTGAGAACTTCAAGGAGATAATAGTGCAAAGTGAGTAACTTAGGTATACATATATATTTATATATGTATGATTTAGCTGCAGACAAAGTTTGACTGCGACACAGTTCGATTGACTGCGAACTAACTAAAAACTTGTTCTCTTCCAACGAGCACCATCACAGACAATCGCCTCATAGATCATGTTGCGCAACTAAAGTCGGACAATCTGAAACTGTCTGTGGAGAATGAGCAACTGCGCAATGCTGTGTCAACAGGTGGCACCGGTCCCAATGTTGCTATGGCTACTCTGGAAAAGAAGCTGCTGGCGCAACAAGAGGAACTCACGGACCTGCACAAAAGAAAGGGTGAACACTCGCAAATGATTGTCGATCTAAATCTCAAAGTTGAGCAGCAAAAGGAGCTCATTTCCGAAAAGGAGCACAGGTATTTGCCAAGGACTACTCTAACTAGGCCTGGTAAACTTTATATTGCGCTCCTTTCAGTCTTTACGAACAACAAACTGCCAACAATCGCTTAAGGGCTGAGGTGCAGTTGTTGCACTCCAGCTTGGAGGAGCTCAAAAAGCTGAACACGACCTTGCTGGATGAGCACACAGCACTGCAGCTGGCATTCAGTTCCCTGGAAGAGAAGATGCGCAATGTACAGGTTAGTTGCTGTTTGATCAGATGTGCCTCATGGATATTGTCATCGTTGTAGCATTGCCTTACAAATTCTAAACACTTCACCCCCTCAATATTATTCCCTTAAAGTAAAAGTATTGCCAATTTGTTTTTTGTATTAGTTTGTCCAAATTGTCTTGTTTATGTTATAAATGTATTTGGATAGTGTATAGCATAGTCGCTATTGAAGAAATTTGGTAAGTAGCTAATGAACGTGCGTAGAGTAAACTAAGGTAAAGCATCTACTTAAGGGTAGTCTATTTTATAAAGAGTGTATTGCATGGATCCATAAACTCCATTCATATTTCAGAGTCTATTCAGAATGGTTTTCTATTCTTATATATTGCATATTCATTTGTCACCTTAACAAATGAGTTTCTTTTAAAATTAGTTAGAATGCATGCGGTCAGACGCTGATCTCGAAAATGAATATTTAATCAGCTCAGCTACGAAACAAACGAGCAGACACGAATGAGGCTTATTTTATCTGTCTGTTACTTCCAATGACGGCAAACTTGTTTCTTTGTCGCGACGTACAAGTTTTTATGAGCCAAAGCAAATGAATTTGAATAAAAATAAATGCATTTATAATGCCTTATTAATTATAATTATTGTAATTAAAATAAATTTAAATATTTGTTAACATTTTTTATCGTCCCTTTCGCCTTGCAGGACGAGAATCGCTACTTGCTGGAACGTTTAATGCGCTACAGGGCAAAAGATGCCGATAAACTGAATGAAGAAAACGAAAGTTTGATAAGGTAACAAAAAGTGAAAAGAAAAAGGAAGAATGACTTTTTATTAAACGTGCACTGCATTCATTTATAAGTTATCGGTTCATATAAAGATATTGTATATTCATATACATATAATATTTATAGAAATGTTGATAAGTATTGGCTAAAACTAGCAATGGGTATGACTAAAATATATATTCAAAAACAAAAATCGTTGTCACAGTAGAATTGAAGGAATTGCATGATTCATCTATTATTTATTATTTATTATTATTTTTGCATAAGAGTTCAGCTTTCAAATGATACAAAGACCAATTTGAAGTTTTAGGAAACTCTTCAATTAGAAATGTTTCCCAAGAACTCGCGCAAGACTTTTTATGTTTTCAGCTAAATAATTTGGAAAAGTTGTATTCCATTTAATTTTATTTTTAATTTGCAATTTACATAACTCGCAACTCATTGTGTCATTAAATTAATTAAATACATTGTTATTCAACTAAATTGCTTTTGCTAAAGGTAAATAATCTTGATTCGTTTATTTATAGTCGGGCTTTTTCGAATTTAATATTTTTCGTTTTCTTGTTTTGCTTTTATATGGTTCAACATTAAATATGTAACCGATTTCGAAAATATCTAGAAAAAGACTGCCGTCACTTTTCAGAAAACGTTCGGCTAAACTGAAACGTGACTTGGAAGACGCCGTGCGCGAGCCCAATTCGCCGGGTAACCCGGTTGTTCCTGCACCCGGCAGCACCCCACTGCATCGCAACTCGAGTCCAGCTCAATTTGGTGGCACCGCTGGAAGCGACGACGAAATTGATGACGCGTCGGTAAACGGCGCTATGGAAGCTTTGAGTCTCAACGACGAGGAATATATCAATGCAAGATTTATGGCCGGCGAAAACTCCCACGACATACAACGCGCTAACGCAAATAACTCAATTGAGGGTCTCAAAGCCGCTGGCTATCTTGGCCAGCCGAATCCGACAAAGATCCTAATGAAATTCGAGGCCCATGAGAACGAGTCGCATGCAGTACGTTGGAGTCCGGTGGAGCGCATGGTAGCTACGGGCGGGGCCGATAGAAAGGTCAAACTGTGGGACGTTGGCAAAGGTAATTATCAGTTATGCAGCTGCCAAAGAGATTTTTTTTATTAACTGCATTCAATGCTCATTAGCCTCGACGGAACCCCGTGCTGTGCTTAGTGGGAGCAGTGCCGGCATCAACTCTGTCGATTTCGACTCAACCGGAGCGTATATACTAGGTACTTCAAATGATTATGGCGCCCGAGTGTGGACAGTAATGGACAATCGGCTGAGGGTGAGTTGTGTTAAGTTGAACAGAATTCTAGGTTGTATAAAATGCGTATTTAGACAGCTTTACTTGTTATCTTCATAAGTATCAAAACAAAGACGAAATGAGATATGAATGAAAGAATGTTTAACTATGT